CAAAGCACCTCAGACCACAGTAATTTGACTGGTACATTCAATATGGCCGCCGCTCCTGCCACCACAGAATGTGAACTTGAATGGGACGGCTGTTCTAGTGATTCTAATTATATGTATATTAATTATTATAACACACAGGGCCCTGGGGTGTCCTACTCAAAGATATAGAATTCTATCCACTCTTAGGGGAAAAAAAGGTGCTATCAGATAGCAGGCATTTTGGTTCCAGGTAGAACCCTGGAACCAAAAAGGGTTCTCCTATGGGGACAGCTGAAGAACACTTTTGGAACCCTTTTTTCTAAAGGAGTCCCGCAGTTCTATTATTCTAGTTCTATTTCAGGTCTGCTACTCACACTCCTCCAGACTGGACCACAGAGTAGTGATGTCACCATAGAAGTAGAATCACTAGATATAGAATTCCCTACTGCAGTTCTATAATTCTTGTTCTATAGTTCTACTACTCACCCTTTTCAGGACTGGGCCACAGAGCAGTGATGTCACCATAGAAGTAGAATCACTAGATATAGAATTCCATACTGCAGTTCTATCATTCTAGTTCTATAGTTCTACTACTCACCCTCCTCCGGTCCTCAGCTGCCTCCAGTTTCTTCTGGATGTCCTCTAGGGACACCTCCCTCTTGGGGGGCGAAGTGATGCTATGGGTCGCGTCTGACACCGGGGAGGAGGGCTTCAGAATCACCTCGAAGGCCTGGCCCGACGCCCGCTTGTTGATTGGCTTCACCTCCATGTCTGAAAAACAAGTGAAAACTTTTTTGCACTTTATTATTTAATAAAATAACATTTAATATACATTTTACATTTATTTAAACATATAATCTGTTTAAGATAAATATATTTCCTCCATCTTCACCCTGGTGCTTTATCCTTCTTCCTGTGTGTCCTTTATGTCTCTAGTTGTTCTGTGTTCTGGGGTCTGGTCTTCTGGGGTCTTGTCTTCTGGGGTTTGGTCATCTAAGGTCTGGTCTTCTAAAGTCTGGTCTTCTAAGGTCTGGTCTTCTGGGGTCTGGTCTTCTAAGGTCTGTTCTTCTAAGGTCTGGTCTTCTAAGGTCTGGTCTTCTAAGGTCTGGTCTTCTGGGGTCGGGGGTCTGATCTTCTGGGGTCTGGTATTCTGGGGTCTGGTATTCTGGGGTCTGGTATTCTGGGATCTGGGGTCTGGTCTTCTGGGGTCTGGTCTTCTGGAGTTTGGGGTCTGGGGTCTGGTCTTCTATGTTCTGGGGTCTGGTCTTCTGGGGTCTGTGGTCTAGATGGGTTATGTTGTTTTTTTGGTTTATATGTGATGTCCATTTGGTCCATATCTTGAATGCCGTTGGTTATGTTGGTCCAGTCCAGGATGGTTGGTAATGTTGGTCCAGTCCAGGATGGTTGGTAATGTTGGTCCCGTCCAGGATGGTTGGTAATGTTGGTCCAGTCCAGGATGGTTGGTAATGTTGGTCCAGTCCAGGATGGTTGGTAATGTTGGTCCAGTTCAGGATGGTTGGTAATGTTGGTCCAGTTCAGGATGGTTGGTAATGTTGGTCCAGTTCAGGATGGTTGGTAATGTTGGTCCAGTCCAGGATGGTTGGTAATGTTGGTCCAGTCTAGGATGGTTGGTAATGTTGGTCCAGTCCAGGATGGTTGGTAATGTTGGTCCCGTCCAGGATGGTTGGTAATGTTGGTCCAGTCCAGGATGGTTGGTAATGTTGGTCCAGTCCAGGATGGTTGGTAATGTTGGTCCAGTCCAGGATGGTTGGTAATGTTGGTCCCGTCCAGGATGGTTGGTAATGTTGGTCCAGTCCAGGATGGTTGGTAATGTTGGTCCAGTCCAGGATGGTTGGTAATTGAAGTGACAGCCAGTGTCTTGCTATTGCATTTTTACTTGCGGCTAATAAGATGTTATATGGCAGTTTGTCTGTATTGTTGAGTGCTTATGGAGTAATTCTGAGATATGTTATATTATTTGGATGTCCACTTTAAACATGTCTTTGAGTTCATAGATTATGTATGTCCAGGAAGGTTGTAATTTAGGGCCAAAAGATATGTGAAGATATGTGCATGTCAAACCATTTCATGTGTGTCTTGTGAATGTTTTTCTGAGGTGTTGGAATAAAGCATGAGAAAAGTTTCTGTTGGACATCCATGTACATTGGACAATAAAGTAATCTTCTTCAATTCAGGAGGACATCCAAAACAATAACGGTAAAAGATAAAGATCCTCCAATACAATAAAGGGCACAGCTCCTGGATTGAGCTGAAATGGCATCAGGTCAACTACAGTGACATTCAGACTGTAGTGCTTTGACTTGATCTGAAAGACTACGCATTGCAAGTAAAAAGTGTTGTGTGTTACGTTCCCCAGCAAGAATAACAACAATGTCGCTCAAACAGAAGGGGGAACTAACAAAGAGTCACAGACCAACAACCAAAATGAAACAGGTGGGGTTTTAAGAGGGGTTCTGAAAGACACTCATTGGGGTCCCCACTGAAAGCTGACTAGCAACAACAACTGGGACCTAAAAGACACCCACCATGAGCACCTACTAAATTTGCCCAAGAAGAGGCAAATAAAAGAAAAACCCCAAACTGAAAGACAGGAAGCAAACCAAAAGCTGGAGCAAAACGAAATCAGGGAAATCAGATAACGGATTGTTTGTCTAGAAATCAAAATAGGGAGAGTCAACTAAAGGAGTTAACCCTCCACATCTATCCAGACAACTAAAGGAGTTAACCCTCCACATCTATCCAGACAACTAAAGGAGTTAACCCTCCACATCTATCAAGACAACTAAAGGAGTTAACCCTCCACATCTATCAAGACAACTAAAGGAGTTAACCCTCCACATCTATCAAGACAACTAAAGGAGTTAACCCTCCACATCTATCAAGACAACTAAAGGAGTTAACCCTCCACATCTATTAAGACAACTAAAGGAGTTAACCCTCCACATCTATCAAGACAACTAAAGGAGTTAACCCTCCACATCTATTAAGACAACTAAAGGAGTTAACCCTCCACATCTATCAAGACAACTAAAGGAGTTAACCCTCCACATCTATTAAGACAACTAAAGGAGTTAACCCTCCACATCTATCAAGACAACTAAAGGAGTTAACCCTCCACATCTATCAAGACAACTAAAGGAGTTAACCCTCCACATCTATCAAGACAACTAAAGGAGTTAACCCTCCACATCTATTAAGACAACTAAAGGAGTTAACCCTCCACATCTATCAAGACAACTAAAGGAGTTAACCCTCCACATCTATTAAGACAACTAAAGGAGTTAACCCTCCACATCGATCAAGACAACTAAAGGAGTTAACCCTCCACATCTATCAAGACAACTAAAGGTGTTAACCCTCCACATCTATCAAAACAATTGAAGCACTAGGCCAGCCACTCTTAAATAGCACCTGGTCCAGCACAGGTGAAACACCTTCCCTCTAACGAGATGGCTTCCAGCAGAGGTGTAACACATACTGACTAACGAGGTGACGCCAATCGGTGCGCCCTACGTGCTAACGAGCTATACGTGCTAAAGTCCAACCTCAAAACATAAATGGGAAAACCAAAACCTATAACACCTTCCCCCTTAAGACAACAAATATATCCTATATTTTTGTTAGACAAGTTTGCTCACCACCCACAGAAAGCAACTTCCATTGCACAACATAATCAACTTAAATGCGTCGCTACTTAAAAGCGTCGCCTTCTCCAATGTAAACATGGCATCTACTGGCTGTCAACAATTAAATACAAGACAAAACACACTTATTTTGTCTTGTATATATATATACAGTGGGGGAAAAAAGTATTTAGTCAGCCACCAATTGTGCAAGTTCTCCCACTTAAAAAGATGAGAGAGGCCTGTAATTTTCATCATAGGTACACGTCAACTATGACAGACAAATTGAGGAAAAAAAATCCAGAAAATCCCATTGTAGGATTTTTAATGAATTTATTTGCAAATTATGGTGGAAAATAAGTATTTGGTCACCTACAAACAAGCAAGATTTCTGGCTCTCACAGACCTGTAACTTCTTCTTTAAGAGGCTCCTCTGTCCTCCACTCGTTACCGGTATTAATGGCACCTGTTTGAACTTGTTATCAGTATAAAAGACACCTGTCCACAACCTCAAACAGTCACACTCCAAACTCCACAATGGCCAAGACCAAAGAGCTGTCAAAGGACACCAAAAACAAAATTGTAGACCTGCACCAGGCTGGGAAGACTGAATCTGCAATAGGTAAGCAGCTTGGTTTGAAGAAATCAACTGTGGGAGCAATTATTAGGAAATGGAAGACATACAAGACCACTGATAATCTCCTTCGATCTGGGGCTCCACGCAAGATCTCACCCCGTGGGGTCAAAATGATCACAAGAACGGTGAGCAAAAATCCCAGAACCACACGGGGGGACCTAGTGAATGACCTGCAGAGAGCTGGGACCAAAGTAACAAAGCCTACCATCAGTAACACACTACGCCGCCAGGGACTCAAATCCTGCAGTGCGAGACGTGTCCCCCTGCTTAAGCCAGTACATGTCCAGGCCCGTCTGAAGTGCATTTAGATGATCCAGAAGAGGATTGGGAGAATGTCATATGGTCAGATGAAACCAAAATATAACTTTTTGGTAAAAACTCAACTCGTCGTGTTTGGAGGACAAAGAATGCTGAGTTGCATCCAAAGAACACCATACCTACTGTGAAGCATGGGGGTGGAAACATCATGCTTTGGGGCTGTTTTTCTGCAAAGGGACCAGGACGACTGATCCGTGTAAAGGAAAGAATGAATGGGGCCATGTATCGTGAGATTTTGAGTGAAACCCTCCTTCCATCAGCAAGGGCATTGAAGATGAAACGTGGCTGGGTCTTTCAGCATGACAATGATCCCAAACACACCGCCCGGGCAACGAAGGAGTGGCTTCGTAAGAAGCATTTCAAGGTCCTGGAGTGGCCTAGCCAGTCTCCAGATCTCAACCCCATAGAAAATCTTTGGAGGGAGTTGAAAGTCTGTGTTGCCCAGCGACAGCCCCAAAACATCACTGCTCTAGAGGAGATCTGCATGGAGGAATGGGCCAAAATACCAGCAACAGTGTGTGAAAACCTTGTGAAGACTTACAGAAAACGTTTGACCTGTGTCATTGCCAACAAAGGGTATATAACAAAGTATTGAGAAACTTTTGTTATTGACCAAATACTTATTTTCCACCATCATATGCCAATAAATTCATTAAAAATCCTACAATGTGATTTTCTGGATTTTTTTTTCTCATTTTGTCTGTCATAGTTGACGTGTACCTATGATGAAAATTACAGGCCTCTCTCATCTTTTTAAGTGGGAGAACTTGCACAATTGGTGGCTGACTAAATACTTTTTTTCCCCACTGTATATATTTTTTTTTACATGTGTATTTTTCTTTTTCTTCTTTTTTTTCTTTTTCTTCTTCTATAGTTCTCTAAAACTCACAGGTTTTTGAAAAACTCACGTAAGCTTCTATAACTCTCATCCCCAACCAAAACAATACTAATCTCCAAAACGGCAAAACGTGCAGTCAAATTAAATTGTGAGCCTGGGCAACACACTGGCTAAAACACAAAACGTATTGACTACCCACCCTTGGGAGATAATCAGCAACCAAGTTGTCCTTACCACGGACATGTCTGATTTCAACAAGAAACTCCTGCAATATCCATAGTAACTTTACTATCGTGCTTGGTTCTTACATCTGGTGTGACCTGGTTCTTACCTTCAAACTCACAGACGACCAGCTTGTTGCATGCTTCTGGTTCTTACCTTCAAACTCACAGACGACCAGCTTGTTGCATGCTTCTGGTTCTTACCTTCAAACTCACAGACGACCAGCTTGTTGCATGCTTCTGGTTCTTACCTTCAAATTCACAGACGACAAGCTTGTTACGTGCCTCTGGATAGAAGCAGGAGCAGATGAGGGAAAAAACAGACAGCTCCTTCATCTTCTCTTTGTATGCTGAGGGAATACAATCACACCAGACTGTTAACACCGCCACGTGGAGGAATCCAAAATGGTCTTCAGACCCCTTCACTTTTTCCATATTTTGTTTGGTTTGGTTACAGCCTTATTATAACTTATTATAACATGTTTTTTTCCCTCATCAATCTACACACAATACCCCATAATGACAAAGCAAAAACAGGTTTTTAGAAATGTTTGCTAATTTATTAAAAATAAAAAACAGAAATATCACATTTACATAAGTATTCAGACCCTTTACTCAGTACTTTGTTGAAGCACCTTTGGCAGCAATTACAGCCTCGAGTCTTCTTGGGTATGATGCTACAAGCTTGGCACACCTTTAATTGGGGAGTTTCTTCCATTCCTCTCTGCAGATCATCTCAAGCTCTGTCAGGTTGGATGGGGAGCGTTGCTGCACAGCTATTTTCAGGTCTCTCCAGAGATGTTTGATCGGGTTCAAGTCCGGGCTCTGGCTGGGCCACTCAAGGACATTCAGAGACTTGTCCCGAAGCCACTCCTGCGTTGTCTTGGCTGTGTGCTTAGGGTCGTTGTCCTGTTGGAAGGTGATCCTTCACCCCAGTCTGAGGTCCCGAGCGCTCTGGAGCAGGTTTTCATCAAGGATCTTTCTGTATTTTGCTCCGTTCATTTTTGCCTCGATCCTGACTAGTCTCCCAGTCTCTGCCGCTGAAAACACCCCCACAGCATGATGCTGCCACCACCATGCTTCACCGTAGGGATGGTGCCAGGTTTCCTCCAGACGTGACGCTTGGCATTAAGGCCAAAGAGTTGAATCTTGGTTTCATCAGACAAGAGAATATTGTTTCTCATGGTCTGAGAGTCTTTAGGTGCCTTTTGGCAAACTCCAAGCGGGCTGTCATGTGCCTTTTACTGAGGAGTGGCTTACGTCTGGCCACTCTACCATATTGGCCTGACTGGTGGAGTGCTGCAGAGATGGTTGTCCTTCTGGAAGGTTCTCCCATCTCCACAGAGAAACTCTAGAGCTCTGTCAGAGTGACCATCGGGTTCTTGGTCACCTCCCTGACCAAGGCCCTTCTCCCCCGATTGCTCAATTTGGCCGGGCGGCCAGCTCTTGGAAGAGTCTTGGTGGTTCCAAACATTTTACATTTACATTTTAGTCATTTAGCAGACGCTCTTATCCAGAGCGACTTACAGTTAGTGAGTGCATACATTATTTTTTATTTTTTCATACTGTTCCCCCGTGGGAAACAAACCCACAACCCTGGCGTTGCAAACGCCATGCTCTACCAACTGAGCTACAACCCTGCCGGCCATTCCCTCCCCTACCCTGGACGACGCTGGGCCAATTGTGCGCCGCCCCATGGGTCTCCCGGTCGCGGGACAAACCTCTTCCATTTAACAATGATGGTGGCCACTGTGTCTTTGGGAACCCTCAATGCTGCAGAAATGTTTTGGTACCCTTCCCCAGATCTGTGCCTCAACACAATCCTGTCTCGGAGCTCTATGGACAATTCCTTTGACCTCATGGCTTGGTTTTTGCTCTGACATGCACTGTCGACTGTGGGACTTTATATAGACAGGTGTGTGCCTTTCCAAATCATGTCCAATCAATTGAATTTCCACAGGTGGACTCGAATCAAGTTGTAGAAACATCTCAAGGATGATCAATGGAAACAGGATGCACCTGAGCTGAATTTCGAGTCTCACAGCAAAGGGTCTGAATACTTATGTAAATAAGTTTTTATTTTATTATTTTTTTTATAAATTTGAAAACATTTCAAAAAACCTTTTTGCTTTGTCATTATGGGGTACTGTGTGTAGATTGATGAGGACATTTATTTTATTTGATCCATTTTAGAATAAGGCTGTAACGTAACAAAATGTGGAACAAGTAAAGGGGTCTGAATACTTTCCCAAGGCGCTGTAGTGCTTTAGCACCCTATTCCCTATATAGTGCAAAAGTAAAGCATAGGGAATAGGGTGCCATTTTAGACAGCCAAAGTCAGACACTATAATGGTACCTATAGGAGATAACATTGTCATTATGCTGTTTGTTGGCTGTGTGGAAATACAAAACATTCATACAGGCTTGCTTCACACTGACAGTATTAAAGCCCACAACTGATCATGTATTTTTGTTGAACTTTGAGCGCTACTAATTAATTATATCATGATCTGATAACACTAAGCTAATGGGCATTAGCAGTATCCTGTGGGCAGGAGCTAAAGGCTAGATGCTACTCTCTATCTTAATACTGTTTAAATTGTCATTATTACGAGGAAGTAATCACTTTCTTACAGGGTTCAATAGTGATGGAGGGATTTGGAAGAGACAGGCTGTGTTCAAATTCAAAATGGCACCCTATTCGCTTTATAGGGCACCATGTTTGACTGGGGCCCATAGGGCGCACACAAAGTCTCTCCCGCAACACCAACACCAAAATAAATTGTCTACCTACTGTATTACTATCACCCTACTGTATTAGGTACTAGTAGCCCTACCTTCACTAAGGTACAGTATCAGAGAGAGAGCTCTGTCCGAAGAGGATTGCAGATTGTCAATAATGATTAGCCAACTGCTGCAAAGGCCAGCAGCGTGTGGAGCGGCCCATTGCTGCAGGGCTGGCCACTCTCCCAGCCTGCTGTCTGACGGCCTGCTACACCTGCGTGCCATGGCTCACTGCTCAACACAGCCTGCTGCCACATGTCATCATACACACTAAGATTCAATAGAACTGCATGAATCCATATCCATTCCATAATAGAATGTAGGCCCTACAGCACATAGAATACATTCAGGCTCTACGGAACCCCAAGAGCAAGTATTTCTAGGTACAACAGAGATCAGAGAACAGGAAGTAGGCCTATGACTTTTAAGTGTTGGCTATTTTATTCTCAGATTATACTGAAAAGAGAATCAACTCATGAGGTAATTTTAGAGAGTAATCAATCACATTTACAGTTCCACTGAGAAACAACTCAGAAAAATGTCAAACAAAACATAAAATCTACAGCAACTAATTGTTTTCTCTCCCGTTTATTGTGTGTTATATAGACATATAACAGTTTTATTCAGTGTAGAATCCTTCACTAAAACAAAACAAAATACTCTAGGCCTTATTATTTTGAATTAGCATTTCATGGCTAATATTGATGACAAGGCCCTTATCAATGTATACTTTTTGTTTAATATCTTTAAATGTAATCCAAATTTACTGTAATATAAAATACACACAACTGCCAAATTGAATAACAGCCAAATGATGGAATCAAATACATGACTAACTATTGTAGCCTAACAAATGAACCACCGAATTCAATGCATTGTCAGCACGCGCCGTTCATTCACCTACAATTGATTCATATTCGAGCTCAAACAAGCGATATAACCGTTATAACAGTATACTTATAAAAGTATATATATGAAAAAAGTAATTATATCTCAGCCTGTCAGGGAGTGTTGAAATGGTAGTCAGACCGGCGTATTGGGTGGGGTCTCTCTGCATTATGCTTCTACTAGAGCCGCCGCGGTATCACCAGCAGTAGGTTCAGAGTTGTGAATAAAACGGATATAAATAATAAAAAAGCAATCGCGCCAAAACCTTAACCAAAATAAATCTTATACTTTATATTAAGTCATAACATCCATATAATGTTTAATCTAGAACAGCAGTTTTTGCCTGAAGTCCCTATGGGCCCATATACTATAAAGAAACGATGAGGCGGATGCAGGTGTCGGTTTAGAGCTCAGCATCCATCACTATAGTAAAACCCTAACAATAATACATGCTGAAAAATCTTACTCGCATCCTTACCAATTGCAGTTTTGGCCATGGCTGTCTGTGTCGTAGCAGTGGGTGTTGCAGCTATGGTCAGAGGGGCGAAAATGTTGTTTTAAGGCACTGAGTCAGCGAAAAAGACAAGACCGGGGGCTCGGATCAAGATGAGAGGCGCGGAGCGAGCTGGAAAATGGGAGCGGTTGAATTATGAGCGGCTCTGCGCACGAGCAGATTGCTTGGCCACCCTCTGTCCTTTGGCGCACATCTCGCGTCGAGATCAGACATTCCATCCACAGCAATAGACTAGACCTAGTGGTAGGTGACTAATCAAGAATAGCCAACAGTAAAATGTTACAGAGGTACATTTCTGGAAAAACGTATAAAGTATTATATTTTAATTTTTTTAATACTTACAAAAACACTACATGACCAAAAGTATGTTGACACCTGCTCGAACATCTCATTCCAAAATCATGGGCATTAATATAGAGTTGGTCCCCCCTTTGCTGCTATAACAGCATCCACTGTTCTGGGAAGGCTTTCCAGTAGATGTTGGAACATTGCTGTGGGGACTTGCTTCCATTCAGCAACAAGAGCAATAGTGAGGTCGGGCACTGATGTAGGGCGATTAGGCCTGGCTTGCAGTCGGCGTTTCAATTCATCCCAAAGGTGTTCAATGGGGTTGAGGTCATGGCTCTGTGCAGGCCAGTCAAGTTCTTCCACACCGATCTCGACAAATCATTTCTGTATGGGCCTTGCTTTGTACATGAGGGCAATGTCATGCTGAAACTGGAAAGGGCCTTCACCAAACTTTACAGTCGGCACTATGCATTGGGGCAGGTAGCTTTTTCCTGGCATTCGCCAAACCCAGATTTGTCTGTCAGATGGTGAAGCGTGATTCATCACTCCAGAGAACGCATTTCCACTGCTCCAGAGTCCAATGGCGGCAAGCTTCACACCACTCCAGCCGACGCTTGGCATTGCACATGGTGATCTTAGGCTTGTGTGCGGCTATGGAAACCCATTTCATGAAGCTCCTGATGAACAGTTGTTGTGCTGACGTTGCTTCCAGGGGCAGTTTGGAACTTGGTAGTGAGTGTTGCAACCGAGGACAAACTATTTTTACGTGCTACGCGCTTCAGCACTCAGCGGTCCCGTTCTGTGAGCTTGTGTGGCCTATCACTTTGCGGCAGACCCGTTGTTGCTCCCAGACGTTTCCACTTCACAATAACAGCACTTGCAGTTAACCTGGGCAGCTCTAGCAGGGCAGCAATCTGATGAATTGACTTGTTGGAAAGGTGGCATCCTATGACGGTGCCATGTTGAAAGTCCCTGAGCTCTTCAGTAAGGCCATTCTACTGCCATTGTTTGTTTAAGGAGATTGCATGGCTGTTTGCTCGATTTTATACACCTGTCAGCAACGGGTGTGGCTGAAATAACCAAATCCACTAATTTGATGAGGTGTCCACATACTTTTGTATATATAGTGTATATTATGATATATAAGCCTATGGAACGCATTCCTGACCTAAACACATTCACGTCGCTCTTGAACGCGCCCCTACCTCACGTGTGCTATAGGCTACCAGACTTTGTGAATGGCTTCAGACACAGCCAAAAGGGAAAACATGGAGCATCATCACAATGTTGGTATAGAGAATTAGTGCATTTATCAATGAGGCAAGGAAATCAGTGCTGATAAGTCTTATATTTAATATTCATAACTTGCTCGTTACCATAGCTACAGCATATACAACTAAAATATACATACTGGTAAATTAAAACAAAACATTCTATCTTAAAGGCTTGGGGTAAAAAAAATATCAAGGAGTTTAAAAACAAACTGGGTATAATATTCCCTTTTCTAATGTCACACAAAGCAACAATTTATGGAATAAGTTACTTTACTTAACCCTGCATTGGTTTATTTGGTATAAAATAGAGGTAGTGTCAAGCAAGAGGTGTGTTTGGTGTTTGTCATGATTACTATTCTAATTTGGTAACACTTAGCTACAATCCAGAGAAAATTGATACGATAGATAGATATTGTATTCTATATGGTCAATGATTGCGATTGAGAATCATTGCGATTGCGAATGATTGCGAAATCCATAGTGAAAGCAGCCAGGTTATATGGAATGAATGAGTGTGAATCAGTGCTGCCCTAAATTACACTTACACTGAGTATACAAAACATTAAGAAGAGCTATTTTCCATGACAGACTGACCAGGTGGGGGGGGGGCAACTCAATATTAGGAAGGTGTTCTTCATGTTTTGTATACTCTGTGTACAAGGGGCCTTTCATAAGTAACATAAAAAGCAAGAGCCTAGCTTTTGCTAGAGCCTGAGGCTTGGAGCATCTTCTTGATCAGGTGGCCGACCAGTATCTGAGGACGTTGTTGGTAGCTGTGGAGAACTTCATGAGAGCTGATCAGCTGGTCCCCTTTCTGACGGTCCAGTAGAGTCACACACACCACGGCCGCTTCAGAGGAACACAGAGACAGAGGACAGAGGTTGATTATTTACTAGCCTGAGTGCCAGTCTGATTGTGCTACGGTATCATGCCAACTCCTTGTCACTCATTGTCATGTCAAACATGAGACAGGGAGTTGGCATGACAACACAAACAGATCAGGGACCAGCCTATTTATTTACCAGCAACGCTACTGGACATTGATCCTACAAAAAGGTTCAACATTAGGACCTTAAAGTTTATGAATATGATGTAAAATACATATATTTAATATACATCTATTCAAATACATATGCATATTTATTTCATATTTCATCTTTAACAAAGTCAAAAGGTTTTTTATTTTTAAAAGCTTTAAGTCTGTGAATAACACAATTGGCGTCTAACTGCTAATATCATTTGTACTATCATCATGGATAGCTACAACTACACCAGCGGTGTACCTTTTAGACCGCTGAGTTTACACATGGCAGCAAACACGGAAGACTCCATCTCGATGTTGCGAACCCCAGACTCATAGGCCTTGGTCAGGTAGTCCTGTTTATCCTTCTCTGTGTAGGAACAGAAGGCCCCATCCAGACGAGCTTGTCCTGGACACACAAAACACCAGCTAGCTACCCACAGTAACTCTATTAAGGCTCATCAATATAACCTGAGTGCCAGTCTGTTTGTGCCATCATGCCAACTCACTCATTGTCATGCCAACTCACTCATTGTCATGCCTAACATGTTTGGCATTACAATGACAGCAATGGAGTTGACAGGAGCAAAAACAGGTCAGGTACCATGCTAACACAGGAACACATTTGAAAAAGACAGAATCGCAGACAACAAGCAAAATACTGAAGTAGCGTATAACAACCGACACCTTCATAGAAATCCATGGTGCACATGGTGTTTCCTACGACCGTTTCAAATTGACCCAGGTCCTTGCTGCACTGCAGCAGCTCTTCAGCCAGCCCTTGGTCCAGGTCCGTGCTACGCACCACAGTATTCCCCAGGATGACCTGCTCGAACCTGGGCAGGAAGGTGGCGTCTACTGACTGCTTGGTGACAACAACCGTGCCAGGCTCAAGGCCTGGAGAGAGAAAGTGGATCAGTGTATGTACAATGTATAGCAAATATAGCTTGTTTTAGGCTTGTGTCCCAAATGGCACCCTATTCCATATAAAGTGCACTACCTTTGGGCCCTGGTCAAAAGTAGTACACTATGTAGGGAATAGGGTGCCATTTGGGATGCAACTTTAGCTTAATAAAAGGACTTGAATTGATTGATTGATTTAAACACCACATATTAGTGTTATTACTCGTTTGACTATAGTGGGATTCAGGTGTGCTGTGTTTAATCATAAAGGAATTAAATCATATCCAAAGCACTTGAGAAGTACAACCTGACAGAAAACGTCTAAATAAAGTATATATAGGCCTACCTAATCCACCGGAGGTCCCAATGCGTACAATGGTAACATCAGTGCAGCGAGCATGGTAGAGGAGCTTGATGAGCTCGTGTAACATGATGGCGATGGAGGGGATACCCATACCATGCTGTAAAAGAGAGAGAGAGAGAGAGAGAGAGAGAGAGAGAGAGAGAGAGAGAGAGAGAGAGAGAGAGAGAGAGAGAGAGAGAGAGAGAGAGAGAGAGAGAGAGAGAGAGAGAGAGAGAGAGACACGTGATGTCATAAATGTATCACATTACACAACCACTGTCTTACGTCAGATAGCGTGACCACCTTGTCTGCACTAGTTCATGGCAACGCGGTTGCGTTAGAATGACGCCATCTGAAGGAAGACAATGATTAGGCCACTCAACTCAGTCTGTTTGGCAGAACAAGCTGCTACACCAACATGTCCATTGATTTGACAAAGAAACCTTCTCTATTCCTTTATATTACCTTTCATTCCCAGGGCATCGATTACAATTCCACCCGAAGGTGCAACATCGTGAGTGTGTCCCAAATGGCACCATATTCCCTAGTGACGACTTTTGTCCAGAGCCCTTGTCAAAAGTAGTGCAATATTGGGTACCATTTGAGTCCCAACCCATGTTAACTTACTAACATCTAGTGACACTATAATAAACCATAAGTGATTGAAATGGATACTAGTATTGTATTTCTTCACGTACGCTGACGGAGAGCACGGGGCCAATCTTGTACATGGCGTAGCGGTCAGTTCCTGCACAGATGTTAGGGTACTCAGCCTTGGGGTCCTCCAGACTCAGCTCTCCAGCAATATACTCTATGAAGGACTTCATTCTCCAGGGACTGCCCCCAACACACACAAACTGAGACATGGACATGAGAGCAGACGGCGTAAATGTTAACGTCCTGGGTTGAATACAAAAAGTCTATAGAAATACAGGGCTGCTTTCCTGAACCCAGATTAAGCCTAGTCCTGGATTAAAATGCATGTTCTATGGAGAATGTCCCTTGAAAGGTTTTTTTTGTCCAGGACTAGGCTTTATCTGTATCTGGGAAACCAGATGAATACAGAAAAGATGAGCATATTGAATGCAGGAATTAGGATGTTATGAATGTCCATTTACTGATGCAATCTAGCTAATAGCCTAATGAATCAATCAGTAACCTTACCTTGACATCTCCAAACATGGCAGGCAGGTTGTGTGTGGAGGTCCCCAGGTTAAAGTGGTAGAGAACGTCTTCTTTCATCCCATCCAGGTGTGGGTTATGCACATAGACAGTGCTTTCACTAAGGAAATCAATCATAAAAGGACATTTAGGGTAGACCAGTCTTATATTTTACTTCCTCCTAAACTTCTGGACCCGTGTTCATAAAGCATGTTTGATGGTTTGGTTCAACATGTCCTCATTGTCTTCGTATTACTGTATGTCAATAGAATGAAACCGCCTGGTTGTGAGTCACTTTCCTATTTCCTTATATGGAATAATGTAATAGTCAATGATACGTGCTTCTGTGCAGGAAGTCAATTTCTCTGCATGACACACCTCTGCCGTTTCAAATATTGTCCACTGATTAAAGGTAGTGGTCAGCCTTCTGTTAAAAGTTAATGTAAAATGTACAGCACAAAAGTAAAAGCTTTATTAGGGTGTTATTTCTCATTTTGATGTTGTTGAATTCATTACATTTTCACTCAACAAAACTAATCAAATCACTTTGATGATATAGTTATAGACAATGACGTGATCCAACCATTACTTATTAGATGTTACTGTACCTCTCGCAGCATGTCTCATTCTTTTCATCACTGAAACCTGGTCCTGGTGCCATGTTCCTGAAAACAGTAAGAAGCCCAACCACCGGAGCATACACATGAAATTAACTTCATTTCCAAATGTTGGATTTGCCAAATTCAGACATAGATACCTTCACTACTGGTCCAGTTAGTGATACGAATATCGGTGTCTGTGGGAATGTGCTGTATCCCATATCGTAGTCTATAGGCTACAATCACTACCAATAATATTCCGCCTGGTCTATTTCTATGTCAGAGAAACAGCGATTGAATATATGTAGATTACCTGTAGCAGGTGGATGATTCGCATATGCAAGATGCTGAGTTAGATGACCCCCGTTTCCTAAATATCAATCTGCAATGTAGTAAATGTATGAAGCGCAGTAATTTAACGCTGTGCTAAGGCACGAGTCACTGACATTGGGTTGTCACTACACAGCCACAAAATTAAAAGTGTACATCGTAAAAATTCATGAAAACTAAAATCAGTTTTTGGTCTTAATTTAAGGTTAGGCATAAAAAGGTTAGCAGTGTTGTTTAGGTTTAAAATCAGATTTTAAGAAGATAAATTGTAGAAATAGGCGGGGTTTAGCCATAATTATGACTTTGTGGCTGTGGTAACTAGTGATGACCCTGCCATTGACTGTATATGAAGGTCAGTCACTAGGGAGTGCGTTTACATGCACACTAATATTTCGATATTAAACTGATTATGGCAGTAGTCAAGTAAACACTTTAATCTGTTTATCTTAATCGTCATACGGTCAAAATAGAAGCATACGCCGATTAAAACCTGGTTTTCTGAGCAATCATTCGAATTATTAGGACATGTAAACGGTTTATATCCGATCTGCGCATGTGCTAGCACCTGTAGCGCATTCCCCCTCTTATGCGCAAGTGACTCGGAAAATCTTAAAGTATGCATCTTAGAAATAGTCACATACAAACTTTATGTCCCAACTCAGAATCAAAGAGGCTTGGCAAAAATAACATGGTCGCGGTGGTAGAATGTTTATTGGCAATTTTCTGAATTTAAGTCCCATCAGGTAGCCTGATTTCAGGTGCGTCCATGTAAACAGGATTAGGAAAATCGTTCTTGCAAAACATGTACACGTTTTAAAACGAACTATTATATTAATCTGACTATCCACAATAATCGTATTGTGTGCATGTAACTGCACTCACTGTAGACGTAACTCATGAACATCAAAATGCCAGTAGGGGAGATGTTACGCAGGACCTGTGTGCAGCACTGGCGCAGTTTTCACACTAGTGAATGACCAGTACAATGGTTATTGTCTCTGGTTTCTCGTTTACGCAGTGTAACCAACATTGCTGTTTTAGTCTTATATGTAGACAAAAAAAAATAGTTTGGATTACATGGCGAGGTTTTAATTGTTACAGATTTTGATAATGCAAGGTTAGAATTTGAGGTATAGGCAGCATTTGAGCAGCTTTTGGTGTAAAATCAGAAGACAACATTTGTCATACAAATACTTTTTTTTTATAAGAGTACAGAAATGTACAGTGCTATTAGGGCAGATCCCAGATCAGTTCATAAGTCTTGGAGCAAGGAGAGGATGTGCTCATGACTGACCATAGTACACATCAAATTAAATATGCTACCTTCACAATGTGCAGCTTCAAAGTCAAAATTAATGGGGGGTGACACACACTATAACCTTATTTAACCTACTGCATCTCTGAAAATACATGGTTACACTTTGGCACTGTCCCTTTACATTAACATAGGAAAGTCCTCTCAGCCTTGTATCAACAGCCAAAATCTTGGAATGAAGCCCCGCCATCATAACTCAGCATCAATAGGCAAATAGCTTATAACAAAATAAGGATAAACCAAATAAATACACTTCAAAAATAAACGGTCACTCAATTTTCCCATTCCACAACGGTCTCCGAACACAAGTTGCATAATAAAGTTCCCCTTATGTTAACAGGCAAGTCAAGGCGACGGGTTTCGCTAAACTTTGTGCCAATTTAGACTGCCATTATTCACTTTCATCAAATACAATAGAATAAACTGAGAAAACAGCCCCATGTGCAGCAGGGGAGAGATGTACAATTTGATGTGACTACAGGACTGACCCGCAGAGAAGTAGGGGAGAGATGTACCATTTGATGTGACTACAGGACTGACCCTCAGAGAAGTAGGGGAGAGATGTACCATTTGATGTGACTACAGGACTGACCCGCAGAAGGATAGTGTGCAAAGGCAGGCTTAGAAGCCAAATCATTTCAAGCAGCAGTTTTCAATGGGGGAATACAGACAAGTTATGCAGCAGGCAGTAGCCTATTTTTCAACATTCAATTGCTTGATATAAGTCAATAATCAAGCTTCAGTGACAACATTCTCAGTGACAATATCAAAGCTAAAACACCCATACTCCAACATATTAAAAAGTGAAAGGGTTAAATGAATGTAGTGTTGGTCTTGGAGGTCGTTGTAAGGCTTAAATGAATGTAGTGTTTGTCTTGGAGGTCGTTGTAAGGGTTAAATGAATGTAATGTTGGTCTTGGAGGTCATTGTAAGGGTTAAATGAATGTAGTGTTGGTCTTGGAGGTCGTTGTAAGGGTTAAATGAATGTAGTGTTTGTCTTGGAGGTCGTAGGGGTTAAATGAATGTAATGTTTATCTTGGAGGTTGTAAGGGTTAAATGAATGTAGTGTTTGTATGGGAGGTCATTGTAAGGGTTAAATGAATGTAGTGTTTATCTTGGAGGTCATTGTAAGGGTTAAATTAATGTAATGTTTATCTTGGAGGTTGTAAGGGTTAAATGAATGTAGTGTTTGTATGGGAGGTCATTGTAAGGGTTAAATGAATGTAGTGTTTATCTTGGAGGTCATTGTAAGGTTACTCAGAGCCAATGGCCTCCACTGTGGCATTATTAGTATTATGTCATATGTAAACACCACACAGTGCAAGGGGCATTTGTTAGCATCAAGGCACATCATTCAAGCATTCATTATTATTTTAGATTGAAGCACACAAGTTAAACATGTAGGCTACGGTACAACCCTTATGGTCATACCCATTTATGAAATGAACCCTATTGTCCCTGGTCAAAAGTAGTGCACTAAATAACAAATAGGGTGCTATTTGGGACGCAGCTCACGCCGGTGGTGTTCTGGACTCAACTGGGGATTTTTTTTTTGGGGGGGGGGGGGGGGGGGGGGTATATCACTCGATGGCAGAGCAAGTTGTAGTGGTGTGGGGTCAAAAGCAGCAGCAGTCACTCGCTCCATGTTAGCCTAGGCAAGCCTAAACAAGAAAATATTCACACAAACATGTATGATTAGTAAATCATTCATGATTTCAAATTGTTTTAAAATAGACATTGCACCAAAAAGCTTTAAATAATGACTTCTATGGAAGCTGTGGTACAGGAAAACATTTTGGGCCGGTTTCACAGAATCTCCATTAAATTGAGTTTGGTTCAGGACTAAGCTTAATCTGTGTCCGGGAAACCAGCCCCATTAGTGCCAGGGATGAAATGTATTATCAAGCAGTGTATGCAGGCCCCCATTAATCAGGGTTTGGGTGGGGAAGGATTTTGCAACAGCACACATCTTTATCAACTTCTTCACCTAATACTGTAGAAATGTAGATATTCTTTACAAATATATCTTTGCACCAGGCAAGTTCATTGACACACTTGTATTTTCACTTACATTTAATAGTTTTCATCAAACCTCTTCTCCAACCTTGGCACACCAGGTTCTCTCTGTGGAAATGGAATTTGCAATAAGCCATGTTAAGCTATGGCACTGAGAACAGGTTAAAGGTCAACATAAAGAGCAGGTTGGCAAGTGAAACGAAAGTTAAATCAAAAGGAGAGGCTTCTGAATTTACTCTGATTCAATAAAGGAACCAAACTACTAAACAAGCCATAATTGTGTATGAGACAATAAATGACGAGCTTACCGCCTTTTCCAAAACAACGGGGTGTTCTGGTAAGAAGTCCGGTTTTCTTTTGGCAATGGGGGAACTGGCCAGTTGAATCAGGAAGTCTCTAGTGTAAGATATCCTCACTAGGAGAGAGGATAATTTCATTCAGTCAACATCCACACACAATAACATGTGGATTGCATCCCAAATGGCACCCTATTACCTATATAGTGCACTTATTTTGAGCCCAAATGGCACCATATTCCCTATATAGTGAACTTATTTTGAGCCTTGGTCAAAAGTAGTGCACTATATAGGGAATAGTGTGCCATTTGGGACACAGATATGGACTAATGTAATTCAAACCTGGCAACCCACACTTCTATAGATAGATAGCTTACCTTTAGTTGGGGTGGAGTCTTTTGGTGGAGTCTGAGTTTGGAGATGGAGGATTTCAAAAAACTGTTCCACTCCAATACAGTTCATCTTTCCACAGGATAAAAACGGATTAATTAAACTCACTACTGTTAGTCTTATAGACTAACTACAGAGTCCCACAGAAAAAGAGAAGCTTTAGTATGAAATTAAAACCTATCCAAGCAGTCAGTCGTCTCTGGGTAAAACTATGCATCACTCACTGGTTTGTCTCCTGCTTGTCCACACGCAGATGTCTCAGCATTTCTAAAGCAGGGGTCTGTATAAAGAGAAAGTGTGACACTGGCTGCAGTCTGATTCTCTACCCTTCTCTCTGAAGTGTGCACTCGCTCGCTCAATTCCCCTCAAGGACTAAAAAGGAATGAACTGGAGTAAGAAATATGGTGGAAACTGACAGCCTGTGTCTACACCAATCATATGCTTTTAAATCTATGACAGGGAAGGAGCAAGAACACATTCCGGGTAGAAGGGTCTGTTAGTCGACACATTAATTAATTTCATTCTTAGTCCATGACTGTTTGTGAGGTTCACAATTAATAAAATTGGGTCAAGACTTAAAAAGTAGCTAGATGTGTAGGTTGACAGTTGAATATGAGGGAGAGTGAACTAGTCCAGTTAGTTTACCCTGGTCAGTACTGCAGCGCCGCAGTGGTCTGGCTGGCTGCAGGTGCTTCTGTAAGATCCGCCTCCTTGACACCTCCATCCTGTAACAGCAAAGTTTTATGAAGCCATCCAACTTAGATGTCATGTGGTCCATGTCATGGTCAAGTCTATTTAAAGTTAGCCTGGTCCCAGATCTGTTTGTGCTCTTGCCTACTCCATTGCTGTGCTTGTCAAGCGACAGTTGTATGATATGATAGCACAAACAGATTGGCACTCAAGCTAATTCAAAGTGCTGCGTGTCACCCACTACATTTTACGAAAACAAGAGCTCAAGTCTTTCATCAGCTCTTTCATCAACACTGCAAAAGCTGAAGTCTTGATTTGAATTGATTAGTTTTGCACCCGTAAAAAATATAGAAATGCATTATTATTATTATTATTCTAGGAAAAGTTAAGATGTTTTGACCTGGGCTAATTACATAAGATGTGAATGCTATCTTTTACAAGCTAGCTACACATCATTTGACAGATGGAGATAAACTAGCGAGATAGCCTGAACTCTGCACAGTGGTGCACTTTCCCAGTCTGCTGATTTGCTAATTCCAAAAAGCACGTTCCTGATGAATTTGCCTAGCTAGCACTAGCAAACCGTTCAGCAAACCAACTGATAACGTTATAAAAACTAGCTATGCTTTAGCTTTATCAACTTTGATTTATGGGTTTTATCAATTGAACTTAGCTAAGTTAGTTATTAATTTGTGACAGTCACTTTGCGTGAGTTATGCAGTATCTCGGTGAAAACTTTTGCCACTAGCATTACCATCACCGCTAGGCGGCTGGCTAAGTAGCCATAGCTGCCACCTAACGTTCGCTAGCTATCTCGATGGTCATCTTTCGAATAACGCTGACGGTACTTTTCATGACAAAAAAATTACTAAAGTTATTTTCACTATGAAAACCCTGGCAGGCTTCCATTATTGTGTGTAGGTAATATTTACCTGACCCTGTATGTTCGGCGACACACGAGTGCCTTCCCTTCCGAGAGATGCCACACTGATGAGGTGCTGCTTCTGCTGTCTTTACCCCAAAAAGGTTCAGCGCGAGACGCACAGCAAAGTGACGTTTTCAACGAAATTCACGAAAGGGGGACGAGCGCGGTACGGAAGCAATCTTTTCCTATTGAAATCAGTACAGAACAAATTCTTAGAATATCATACCGATATTAAACTGAGTTTTCCTGCTTTATCATCCAAGTATCAGTATGTTCACATTACAATAATTGTTTGATAAAATAACTTAAAAGGTCTGCTGCACATTTTCAAAGGCAAATCTGTCTGTTCAGTTATCTGGCCTTATTGCTTAAATATACATTTGTGTTACAGAAATATGACCATTGACAATAATTGTTTAAAAAAAATGTAATTGGCATGTGTGTCAGCATGTGATGGATATCTAAAAACCGTGGGATCTGATAAGACTACACTAGGTACAGTTCATGTTTATGCCACAAGAGCCCGCTATGGCACAACTGTATGGGCCATTAGACTGGAAATATTAAACGTACCTATCCGATCATTTGATATATATATTTACTGTCCACTTAGGAAGCAACACTGATTGACAATACATTTCACATGCTGTTGTGCAAATGGAATAGACAACAGGTGGAAATTATAGGCAATTAGCAAGACACCACCAATAAAGAAGTGGTTCTGCAGGTGGTGACCACAGACCACTTCTCCGTTCTTATGCTTCCTGGCTGATGTTTTGGTCACTTTTGAATGCTGGCAGTGCTTTCACTCTAGTGGTAGCATGAGACGGAGTCTACAACCCACACAAGTGGCTCAGGTAGTGCATCAATGCGAGCTGTGGTAAGAAGGTTTGCTGTGTCTGTCAGCGTAGTGTCCAGAGCATGGAGGCGCTACCAGGAGACAGGCCAGTACATCAGGAGACGTGGAGGAGGCCGTAGGAGGGCAACAACCCAGCAGCAGGACCGCTACCTCCGCCTTTGTGCAAGGAGGAGCACTGCCAGAGCCCTGCAAAATGACCTCCAGCAGGCCACAAATGTGCATGTGTCTGCTCAAACGGTCAGAAACAGACTCCGTGAGGGTGGTATGAGGGCCCGACGTCCACAGGTGGGGGTTGTGCTTACAGCTCAACACCGTGCAGGACGTTTGGCATTTGCCAGAGAACACCAAGATTGGCAAATTCGCCACTGGCGCCCTGTGCTCTTCACAGATGAAAGCAGGTTCACACTGAGCATGACAGTCTGGAGACGCCGTGGAGAGATGCCTGCAACATCCTCCAGCATGACCGGTTTGGCGGTGGGTCAGTCATGGTGTGGGGTGGCATTTCTTTGGGGGGCCGCACAGCCCTCCATGTGCTCGCCAGAGGTAGCCTGACTGCCATTAGGTACCGAGATGAGATCCTCAGACCCCTTGTGAGACCATATGCTGGTGTGGTTGGCCCTGGGTTCCTCCTAATGCAAGACAATGCTAGACCTCATGTGGCTGGAGTGTGTCAGCAGTTCCTGCAAGAGGAAGGCATTGATGCTATGGACTGGCCCGCCCGTTCCCCAAACCTGAATCCAATTGAGCACATCTGGGACGTCATGTCTTGCTCCATCCACCAACGCCACGTTGCACCACAGACTGTCCAGGAGTTGGCGGATGCTTTAGTCCAGGTCTGGGAGGAGATCTCTCAGGAGACCATCCGCCACCTCATCAGGAGCATGCCCAGGCGTTGTAGGGAGGTCATACAGGCACATGGAGGCCACACACACTACTGAGCCTCATTTTGACTTGTTTTAAGGACATTACATCAAAGTTGGATCAGCCCGTAGTGTGGTTTCCCACTTTAATTTTGAGGGTGACTCCAAATCCAGACCTCCATGGGTTGATACATTTGATTTCCATTGATAATTTTTGTGTGATTTTGTTGTCAGCACATTCAACTATGTAAAGAAAAAAGTATTTAATAAGATGATTTCATTCATTCAGATCTAGGATGTGTTGTTTAAGTGTTCCCTTTATTTTTTTTGAGCAGTGTATATTTTTAAATGTTTTATTGTCACATATACAGGACAGGTGCATTGAAATGTGTTGTATTACAGGGTGAGCCATAGTAGTACGGCGCCCCTGGAGCAAATTAGGGTTTAGTGCCTTGCTACAGGGCACAACGACACCTTGTCAAAAATCTAATTTTATTTGTCATATGCGCCGAATACAACAGGTGGACTTTATCGTGAAACGCTTACTTACAAGCCCTTTCCCAACAATGCAGAGTTAAAAAGTAGGGCGGAATTGGCACAAAAAAAAAGTAAATAGTAACACAATAAATAACAATAACGAGGCTATATATAAGGAGTACCGGTACCGAGTCAGTGTGCAAGGGGTACGAGGAAGTTGAGGTAATGTCCTTTGGTCACCGTAGTCCAACTCTTGGTTACTTCTGGAAATTGGGTAGCTGGAATTAATGTAGGTGAAATTCACTGATTCTCAGTAAAGCGACAAAATCTACTGCATTCTAAACTCACTTTTTAATTCTCACTGCTCCTTGCATGCAGCCCGAGGAAGGTCTGACGACCGAAACGTATGCATTGGCATCAGAATAAAATAAACAGTGAGTTTTTAATACAGACAGTAGAGTTCCGCCCTTTCCTTGTGTTATATCCTGCATATGCTTTGGGGAATACCTAACGTATGTAGTAGATACTTAACCATTTAGGTGTGCGTGTGTCTCCCCCCCCCAGCTAAAATAAAATAACATGGCATTCTGAGTCCAAAAATACCCGCCAGATTGACCACAGGAAACAATACGGGACTATGGGCAATGCAGTATTTTTCATACAACATAAAACATTTTAGACAATCTTGGAAGACAACAGTAGAACATGTATGCATTTTAATCAAATCATTTCCACTAAGTTTAATGGACAACTTTTACACTATATAATGCAATAAACATATTTAAACAAATATTAGTTGCAAAATTAAGTTTTACCTTCACCCAACTGTTACAAAGAAAATACAATTTCAGGCAAATTTCACTAAAAGACAAAAGCTTCATAGCGAGCAAGTGATGGGCAAAATAGAAATAAATCATTTTGTTATTCTTTAAAGGGGGGGAGGGGGATATGGACAAAAGGTTTGTCCATTACACCTTGAGTAGAAAGCTATACAGTATTTTTAAAATCTAAAATTGTTCAGTCGCCATCTGTTGGAACCACCAAACTAATGAAATACTGTCCAAGTTGTTCTTCCTAAAACGTCAAATTTTAAAGCCTAAAAAGGTTATTTCATGTTCTATATGGAGGACAAATGTCAAATTTCACACAAAAACTAGTTTGACTTTTCTGCTGCCTATTGGTCTTCCACTCAATTCCTCAACTGCCGTTAACGCCTCCAAGCGAGATTCAAAAACAACCGTTGCTGAGCCTTTGGGGATCCCTTTGTTGTCGTACTGCAATGAGACGGATCCAGGAATTACACGATATCCATAGCAAAAGTCATAGATTTCGTCAATTCTGATAGTCGAAGGCAGATTAACCAGTCTCAGGCACGTTGGACCATCAAACTGCTGGGGGGCAGAAGGTCCATAGTCTCCATGCCCATGAGCAGATCCATTGCCCCGGTTATTAAGCAGAACAGGGATTTCCATCATGTGAGAATCCTGACCCAGACCCAGACTGCTGCCTCCATGAATATGAACCTGCCGGTCATCCATAGGAAGATGGCCTATATCAGGGGTGACACTGTAATCAGTGTACAGATGGGACATCGCTTCACTCTTCCTGGCCGAGTACCTCTCTGAGCTTCTCTCCCTTGGTATCATCTGCTGCTCTGTCACTGCAGGTTCACCAACACCAAACTCACGCATCTGAGCCAGAGAAATGCATTTCAGGATGACGTTTGCTCCAAGAAACCCTTGTCCATTCAGAGACTGTGCCCTCATAGCCTCCTCCTCAGTCTGAAAGATCACCAAAGCCTCTCCAAGTCCATTGCCGTTATGGTCACGCAGCAAAACAACAGTCTCCTCCGAGATCCTGAAGCCAAGGAAGAAGTCCACAATCTCAACTTTGCGCACGTCAAAAGGCAGATTGCGCACATAGAGGCAAATCTTCTCAGATTCATTCGAGTCCTTCTCGGTCTCTCTTGGAAGCCTTTCCTGAGATCTGCTGTAAGACCTTTCAGAGGGTGGTGCCACATCCCTTGGATTTTCCCCAGATTCTAGAATGGCGACCATTTTCTCTTTTGAAATAGGAGATATGTACACATATCGGTTGAGAAATTCCTGCTTGTGAAGAGTCAAGGCAGCACAGTAGTCCCTCAGGCTTCTGAAAAGCACAAATATGGACCTAGTCTTTTTCCCATAGCTGTCATGAAGGTGAAGGATCTGGTCATACTTGAGGTCTGCAGGATGGAAGAGCTCCTTTATGTCTCTCTTCTCCACTAAGTAGGGGAGGTTTTCCACCAAGACACAGAACTCCTCATTGGGAGGAGAAGAGGACTTTGTTGACCTGTAGGCTACTGGTGAGCGAGACCTGGCACGGTCTGGAGGATACCTCAGAGTGTGAGCTGAGGATGGACCTCTTCTAAACGTACCACTGCTGTCTTTACCAGGTTCCATACCACCACCTGCCTCAAACCACTGCTCTTCTGAGCATGCATAGACTTCCACAAACCTGGTTCCAATGTAATGCCGATCCCTTTTCAGACCCTCTCTAGCATCCAGTCTGGTTTTGAACTTGACAATTCCTTTCCCATTTTGTTGCCCGCTGTCATTTTTCATCATAATAATGTCCTCCACCACTAATCCGTCAAAGAATTTTCTCACATTCTCTTCGGTCGTAGTGAACGGCATGCCTTGCATAAGCAAATACAAGTCATTTTGACTGCTTGGCTGTGAGGAAGGCTTTCGGCCCAGACTACGTGTGTCACTGTACGACACTGATCTACTGCCCATCTCCACATTGTCTTTTTTTCGAGGTTTCTCATTCCTGCCTTCTCTTTCCGGTCTTCTGAAACCTTCCTTGGACGACCTCTTTTTGGTCACCTCAGGTTTTATACTTTCCTTGAGAACAGCCTGCATTTCTGACTTGCTGCTCAGCCGTAAGCGAACCGGAGAACCTTTGATGGATCCCCCCGAACGGGTCATTGCCCGCCTCGCGTCTTCATCGGAAGCAAAAATTATGAAAGCCTCCTCACGCTCCCCACCAATAATGTGCACCCCACCATCTGGGATTTTGAGGCCAGTGAAGAACTTGCGAATGTCCTCAGAACCTGCAGTGATTCTGAGCCCCTGTAAACGGATGACCACCGCCATGCCGACAACAGCACAAACAACAGCACCTGTAGACAGAGGGGTACATAATAGCATTATTGCAGAACAGTCCTGTGTCCAGCTCACCAATGCTCTTCAGACCATTCCACTATAACATTACCGAAACAGGTGACACCTTGAGAATGAAAACAGCAACTGAAAACGTTCTGCAAGGACTACGCTGTCCACAAATCTGAAGGTCCCAATAAAACACTTAAGCCTACTACAAAATGGAAATGCCATAAAAATGTACAGACCTTCTGGCAACAATGGTAGGTCGGAGATTCTAACATCTGAAAGATTAGTATGTAATCTACAGGAGTGACAATCAAAGTTCAACCATTAAACTGATGTCCCTTACATGGATTGTTTAATCTCAAATCAGCTGTGCATCCATTAAATGCAACAGGCAAGAGCATTCACCATGGTTTAATGGCAGGCTTCCAATGTACAATTCCAGGCTTCACTTTACAACTATACAATTCGATCCAGTGTTAAAAGGTTCACAAGTTTCATGCAACATTCTCCTTCCTTAAATCACATATACACTATGACCAAAAGTATGTGGACACCTGTTTGTTGAACACCTCATTCCAAAATCATGTGCATTAATATGGAGTTGGTCCCCCCCTTTGCTGCCATAACAGCCTCCACTCTTCTGAGAAGGCTTTCCATTAAACATTGGAACATTGCTGCGGGACTTGCTTCCATTCATCCACAAGAGCATTAGTGAGGTCGGGCGATTAGGCCTGCCTCGCAGTCGGTGTTCCAATTCATCCCAAAGGTGTTTCGACGAGGTTGAGGTCAGGGCTCTGTGCAGGCCAGTCAAGTTCTTCCACACTGATCGACAAACCATTTCTGTATGGACCTCACTTTGTGCACAGGGGCATTGTCATGCTGAAACAGGAAAGGGCCTTCCCCAAACTGTTGCCACAAAGTTGGAAGCACACAATCGTCTAGAATGTCATTGTATGCTGTAGTGTTAACATTTCCCGTCACTGGAACTAAGGGGCCTAGCCCGAACCATGAAAAACAGTCCCAGACCATTATTCCTCCTCCACCAAACGGTACAGTTGGCACTATGCATTGGGGCATGTAGCGTTCTCCTGGCATCCGCCAAAGCCAGATTCGTCCATCGGACTGCCAGATGGTGAAGCGTGATTCATCGCTCTAGAGAACGCATTTCCACTGCTCCAGAGTCCAATGGCGGTGAGCTTTACACCACTCCAGCCGACGCTTGGCATTACACATGGTGATCTCAGGCTTGTGTGCGGCTGCTCAGCCATGGCTGTGTGCTCGATTTCATACACCTGTCAATAACAGGTGTGGCTGAAATTGCCAAATCCACTAATTTGAAGGGGTGGCGACATACTTTTGTATATATACTGTATTTCTTCTCTGCGTGGCTGGCATGAAATTGTGTATTTGCCCCAAACTCTCCAATCTTTATGAGAAACAGGCAAATATTCAGACCATGAACATCAGATCAGAAAACCCAAACCACATGAAAACCGAAAGGCACAGAATTAACCAATTTCTGTAGATATTTAATATCTAGCAAGAACCCATCAATCATCACTAGGCCTATATCGACATACCATATACCATAATTGAAAAGGGGGAAATGAAATTAGCTCCATTAACCATGGACACAGTTAAGCGCTTTTCAGACAGCCAGCGGAATATCGTCTAGTACCCCTCCGAGTACACCACTTGTCCCTCTAGTCAAAGCGGCTAGTGTTAAGTCTTTCCAACAGCCGCCGGTGACCACAGCAACAAAATAAACATTGACGTACGAACAAAGAATCGCTATAACGACATAAGCATTAATAAAAACGTATTTACACGCAATAGAAATGATAAACCCAAAAATGGATTAGAAACCAATTATTTGTATTGTTAAACGTGACTCTGTAAACTGATGTATTAGCCAGCGGGCAAGTTAGCTGATCCTGCTGTTGGACGTACGTGTTGATGCATCACCACGCAGGCTACATTTTCTACTGTGATTGGTCAACAACGGCACCGCTTGAAAAATAAGAGGAGAATCCTATTTTCTCTGGCCGACCGCTCCGCCTGGATAGAATTTCTCTGTCAGTGCCTTTAATCATTTTCTTTTATATTTATCAGTCCACAGAGAGTCAGATATGGGCTTTTCCAATGAGGCAGTGTTTTACTCCAGTCTATACACCCTGGTGTATTCCTAGTAAGGAAAGTGTTTCCATCACTACGGTTAAGGACTTGGAACAGTTACTTTGTGAGGCGTATTAACCATCTCTGGAAAAAATGTCCCACTTTCCCAGGTCTGGCCCCAAGTCTGGGTAGGTCCACGGCCCAAGACCTTTCGACTTTTTTGGGCCAAGCCTCAGAGGTGGAAAAACAAGTCTTATGACTTTAGTCCAAACACCGGGGTAAAGTCTATTGGAAATTCACCATAGGCATCAGAGTCATAGCTGTCATACTTGAGCATGACTGGTTGTTCTGCTGCACTAATCAAAAATAAGAAGCCCCCCCCCCCCAGCATAGCTAAAGGTATCCTACTATGACTGCTACTAGTCAAAACAATAACGTTATGCCACCAAATACATTCTGTGTAGCACTCACACACACGCCATTGGTCAATTTAACGCCAACATATACAGACACTTTGCTTTGCTTTATCTTGGCCAGGTCGCAGTTGTAAATGAGAACTTGTTCTCAACTGGCTTACCTGGTTAAATAGAGGTGAAATAAAAAATAAATAAACACCTATAATTTGTATAAACTAGATAGATAATGTGATTCAGGGTTTCATAATCATCGTCCAAGAACATAATTGGAGAGGGCCACACATTTAATCTAAGCCAAGTTAAATGCAGAGAAGAGAAGAAAACCATCACAAAACAACCAGAGTGAGAGACAAGACACTCATCTGGCTAGAACAATCAGGACACGTGAAATTAGCTAGAAAGAACAAAGGCTATCCCATCACTTAAGGAAGTTAGCACACAGCCCACCATAGCACAGTGGCTAACGTTAGCTAGCTAGCTAGCCAACTACCTGGCTAACGTTAGCTAGCTAGCCGGTTGGTTTACAGTTGAACAGCCACGTTGTTAGTATTTAAGTTACTTTCGAAAATGCACAAGCAAACTACACCGTACAACACTTATCTGAATTGGTATAAAAACGTCGCAATTTAACGTTAGCTAGCTACATGGCAGCTAGCGTAGCTAACAGAAAGCTAGCTAGCTAGCAGGGCCTTTCAGCCTGGCTACTCGGAAAATAACGCTAGCATGATAATTCCATCCCAAGAGTCATACCTAAGACAGAACTTACACAGGCAGCGAGAGAAAATGTTATTTCGTAGATAATTTCAGAAAAATCAAAAGGATGGCAGGAAAGAAAATACTTTGCCCTTCTCGAGTAGATGCTGCTTGCAAACACGTTCGGAAATACGGAAGCCTACTAGCCTAGAGGGAGAAGTCAGAGGTTCTCGCATATCCTTTCTTCTAATTCTTCTTCTTTGGCATTCTTCTTCTTCTTCTGTGGGTATTATGGCGGACTACAACCCTTTAAGGTGTATTGCCGCCACCAACTGGATGGGTTGAAACCAAAACAAGGTAAAAAATAAAATCCATAGGTGATCCACCAAAATAAAAATAGTACATTGACAAAACCAAATAAAACTCCCACTTCTTCCTTCTTTCAATTCTCCATATATCCTCTACGGCCTGAGAGGGTGGTACGGCTTGTGACAATATTCCATGTAACTCCTTCGCCGATAAATCTTTCAGCCCCAGTAACCACTCCACCGCTTCCACAATAATAATAATAATAATAATAATAATATGCCATTTAGCAGATGCTTTTATCCAAAGCGACTTACAGTCATGATTTATATCTTCCTGGACCTTCTCTCCACCTTGGCAGTGCCATTTATCACCATAGCTATAAAGGCCACAAAGTCCACCTTCTTAACCTTTAAAATGTCAGGATCCTGCTGGTGAAAGGCAACCCCTGCATTTTTATTTATTTAACTAGTAAGTCCGTTAAGAACAAATTCTTATTTACAATGATGGCCTGCAGCCTGCAGTGAAGGCCTATCCACCACCATGGACTCTTCAAGTACAAAATTCAAACCCACAACCCTTTTAACAGCTGCTGCATATGATATGCTCTGGATAGCCCTGACTTTGGCCACCTCATTCTCTTTCACCCTTGTGGGGCAATCGAAAGACGTGGCTTCATGGTTCCCACAACAATTGCAACATGTCACATTTTCACATCACTTTTATAACACATAGTATGTTATTTTCCACAACTTGGACATCTCGGCTTCTCCCTTCTACAAACACTTGAAACATGACCGAAAGCTTTACAATGATCACACTGCATTGGTCTTGGGATAAATGCTCTGACTCTGTGGTTAATATACCCTAACTGCACTTGAGTAGGGAGAGACTCCATATCAAAAAACAAAACAGATACTTTTCACTTTTTCTTCATTCACCACACGATTCATCCGAAGTGCATCAATCACTCCAACAATATGTTTAATCTCTTCAACATCTACTTCCCACGAGACTCCAGATATAACACCCTTGAGGGGTGCCCTGTTCCTAAGAGACACACACGACACTTCAAACTTATCAAATCGGGTGAGACGCAACACACGTTTCTTCTGATCCTCAGAAGCACAAAAAATCTAAACCAGCCCGCCACTCGTGATCCTCACAGCCATCACTCTACCCAGCACTCTCTCCACCAGTTTGGATATCTCAAATGGATTCCTCAAGATTGGTAATTCGATCAGCTGCTCCTCATTTACAAATCGTACTCCTACAAGATACGAGGTGACATTCTCATCACTGTACTCTACTTAGCTCCGTTTCCTTTCTTTTGGACAATTTTCCAATTCTCCTTGATTCTACCGCCATTAGATTCAGAATCCACTTCATCATCCGCTTCCGCCATCTTTTTTCCGTCCGACATTCTCTGTCGACTCTGCTCGGGAAAGCTAGTTC